GTGCTGCAGGGATACGTGGATGCGGACTTCGCCGGTGATCATGATACGAGGCGAAGCACCACGGGGTATGTTTATACCTTAGCGTCGACAGCAGTGAGCTGGGTCTCACGTCTGCAGAAGATTGTGACTTTGTCTACAACCGAGGCTGAGTATGTCGCGGTGACTGAAGCAAGCAAGGAGATGATCTGGTTGAACGGGTGCTTGGAAGAGTTGGATCTGAAGCAAGGGAGAGGAGTTCTTTATTGTGATAGCCAGAGCGCTATACATCTTGCCAAGAATCCAGTATATCATGCCAGAACGAAGCACATCGACGTTAAATACCATTTTATACGCTCGCTGATCGAGGACGGAAAGTTGCACTTAATGAAGATTTTGGGGAGTCAAAATCCGGCGGACATGTTGACGAAGGCAGTCACCATTGAGAAACTGGAGTTGTGTGTCGAGTCGACCTGAACAGTCATAAATGCGACTCACATCAGCTATCTAAGTCGGGAGGCGAATCAGCCGACGTTCGACGAACTGTCCAAACCCACTCGAGTACCAGGAACACGCTTTCCCGCCTCTCCTGACCTGAAGAGAGAAGGCACGGCACTCCAGGCCCGCCGAACAAGCCGCCTACAGTACGAGTGAGCAGACAGGTGACAAAACAGCCTGTACCCTCATAAATACGGCTCATCTCAGTTGTCTAAGCGAGAGGACGAGAGCCGCCGGCGCTCGGTGGTTGGGCAGATCCACGCAAGCATCTGACAGCCGTTGTCACGCATACGAGGAGGGGCTTTCCCACTCCTACGAAACGTGATGCAGAGCACAGCTCTTCGAATGACCGCTGGCGGTACGAATGAACAGCAGGACGTCTCTGAACAACGTATGGTCACATCCCATGATTCAAGGAGTGGTCAAGCTGTCCTTCTTCCATTTAAAAGCCCCTTCCAGCACACTGGTGGGGAGGTCGAAAAAACTTGGAGAAAGCATTCGAGACCAATCTGTTAGGAGATCCTTGCATTCCAGCACCACTGCCTAGTTCCGAGCTCCGATCGCCGGCGAACTAAGCAGACTCGAACTCTTTCGACCCGAGCTTCTACTGAGTACTGAAGCTCTCCAGCAACCTCGATCGAACGGTCCAAGGGAAGCAGACTCGACACGAGCATCGAGCGAAGCGTCCTATAGCCACCTAAAGTCCCCACACAAAACAAAGAGGGCATTCCCTCTGCTTCTGTTGTAAACATTTAATTATTAGTTTGTAATAAGCTTTCTTATTAATACAAACGAAACTCCCAGTTTTCGGGAAATCAAATTTTCACCCTACATGGACTACACGGAGATATTTTTCCCTGTTGTGAAACTCACAACCATTAGAGTAGTGTTGAGTTTGGTGGCTGCAAAAGACCTCTTTCTTGAGCAATTAGATGTGAAGACTGTCTTTCTTCATGGTGACTTGGATGAAGAAATCTACATGAAGCAGCCTGTTGGCTTCATTGAAGAAGGAAAGGAAGAGATGGTGTGCAAGCTCAAAAAGAGCTTATATGGTTTGAAACAGGCTCCGATACAGTGGTATAAGAAGTTTGATAACTTCATGCAGAGCAATGGCTACAGAAGAAGTAATTCGGATCATTGCTGTTATTTCAAAAGGTTCGAGTCCAGCTTTATTATTTTGTTATTATATGTTAATGACATGTTGGTAGCAGGACCATGTTTAGAGGAGATAAACAGTTTGAAGAAGCAGCTAGCAAAGGAGTTTGCAATGAAAGATCTGGGTGCAGCGAAGCATATTCTAGGGATGCGAATCAGTAGGGATGAAGCTGAAGGGACATTGAGATTGAGCCAAGCTGAATACATTGAGAAGATACTTTAGAGGTTCAACATGCAGAATGCTAAAGTTGTTAGCACACCCCTTGGAAGTCAGTTCAAGCTATCTGAGGAGCAATCGCCTAAGACAGATGCAAATAGAGAGCATATGAGTAGGGTGCCATATTCTTCGGCCATTGGGAGTCTCATGTACGCGATGGTTTGCACGAGGCCGGATATCGCCCATGCAGTAGGAGTTGTGAGCAGATTTGCAAGCAATCCAGGGAAGCAGCATTGGGAGACCGTGAAGTGGATAATGCGGTACTTGAGAGGGACAACGAACAAGCCATTATGTTTCAGGAGGAAGGAGTTGGTGCTGCAGGGATATGTGGATGCGGACTTCGCCGGTGATCATGATACGAGGCGAAGCACCACAGGGTATGTTTATACCTTAGCGTCGACAGCAGTGAGTTGGGTCTCACGTCTGCAGAAGATTGTAACTTTATCTACAACTGAGGCTGAGTATGTCGCGGTGACTGAAGCAAGCAAGGAGATGATATGGTTGAACGGGTGCTTGGAAGAGTTGGATCTGAAACAAGGGAGAGGAGTTCTTTATTGTGATAGCCAGAGCGCTCTACATCTTGCTAAGAATCCAGTATATCATGCCAGAACGAAGCACATCGACGTTAAATACCATGTTATACGCTCGCTAGTTGAAGACGGAAAGTTACATTTGATAAAGATTTTGGGGAGTCAAAATCCGGCGGATATGATGACGAAGACAGTCACCATTGAGAAACTGGAGTTGTGCGCAACTTCAGTTGGTCTTTCACGAGTAGAAGACGAAGGCGGAGCCACACTACAAGGATCAGCGAGATCGCCGGGATATTGATGATTGAAGAATGGATTTTTCAAGTAGGAGAAGATGCTTGCGAAGAAGACAGAGTTCGGGAGAGCTCATTGATGGTGGTTTGATCTCCAAGTGGGAGATTGTTGGTCGTAAGAGTGGAGACCCAAACCTAGAATCAAAATCAACAATAGCATAAAAATTCAAGACAGGCCATGGGTGTGGTCTGCTCCACACCAGGGTGTGGCAGAGTCTGCCCTGTCTGCCATGGGTGTAGTCTGCGCCACACCAGGGTGTGGCAGAGTCTGCCCTGTCTGTCATGGGTGTGGTCTGCGCCACACCAGGGTGTGGCAGACTCGTTTTAGAATCCTAATCTGTTTGGGATTGTGTTTTGTTATAAATAGAAACACGTCTCTTTAGAGTTTAAGCTGTCTGCCATGGGTGTAGTCTGCGCCACACCAGGGTGTGGCAGAGTCTGCCCTGTCTGTCATGGGTGTGGTCTGCGCCACACCAGGGTGTGGCAGACTCGTTTTAGAATCCTAATCTGTTTGGGATTGTGTTTTGTTATAAATAGAAACACGTCTCTTTAGAGTTTAAGAGAGAAAAAGAGCACGAAAAAAAGAGGGTTTTGAGGGCTCTTTGAGGTTAGAAATCTTAGAGAGAGAGGGGCCAATTGCAAGCATTGTAATCTTCTTTAAGTAATCAAAGAATTGTGTGGCGTGGCTCCCGAGGACGTAGGCACGTTGCCGAACCTCGTTAAATCTGGTGTGTTCTTTCTTGTTTACTTTCCTACAAGTTTTTATTTTTGATTTGTGGTGAATTTCCTTCTTTCTCAACTCTCAAACACAAGATCCGGAAGGATACGGATTTGATTTGATTATTTTGAATCCCAAACAGGTATCACGATGTTTATACTGATACTGACATGATCACCATCGATATCTTGAAAGGCTGTGTCCTGAACCGTACCAAACTTGACAGCAAAAATGTGATTGGAGACATTTTCATTGGTTGTTTTATTTAGGACACCCAGATAATGGCAGCATTCAGCTCCGGGAAGTGAATTTGAAGGGGCAATTGCAAAAGTGAAGCCATGGCCTCCACTTCCGAGTGTGACCATTTCAAAAACAAATGTGGTACTAAAAGAGTGAGTTTGTTTAGTTAGAGTTTGGCTATTGAGCATATGGAATGGGGGGGGAGAAGAAGGCTTGCCCGATAACTTTCCCTGGGTTGGTAAGAACGCCATTGGATGCGATTCTGGCCACTCCGTTCAAGTTTAGAATATGGGAAGTGTTAAATAGCAGGTTTTTAATCTGTTTTGGTAACAGGTTATTAGGATTCCTAATCTGTTTTTTTTTTTTTTTTTTAGAATTCCTAGTTTGTTTTGGTTTTAGGTTTTCTATATATATGGAACGCCTTAGAAGAGATTAGAATCATCAAAAAGAAGAGAGTTATAATCAGAGATTAGAGAGACTTTTTGAGCATTGTGAGAGGGAGATATTGTGAGCAAGTTGAGAGCTTTGATTGAGGGTTAGTTTGTGAGTTTTGTGAGATTGTAACCCTTTGTACTCTCCTTGATTTAGTGAAATCTCCTCATCCTCTCCCCGTGGACGTAGGAAAATTGCGGAACCATGTATATCTCGGTGTTTGTGATTGATCTGTTGTATTTCAGTTTTGGATTATGCTCATGTGTGATTGGTTATTCTTCTCCCGTGCTTACGACTTGTTTGGTGAGCGAGCACGTTTCCGCATAGGCACGTGACAGGAGCTCCTTGGAAGCCTTTTGAAGATGAAATTGTTTCGTTGCAGAGCAAGCAGAAAAGGGAAAGAGCAAGAAGAAGCATGCGTACACAGTGAAAAAGAACGAGAAGGGATCCATGACATCCCCCCACCCCCCCCCCCCACCCACCCAATCTTTAATGTACTAATATAACAGAAGCTTTTGATTTTCAATATTCTGAATCTGCAGTTATATGTAGGTTTATGATCATTATTCTATGAAGGAGGTTGGCTTGATTTGTGAACTAAGTCAATGAGTTTCTGAAAGTATTTCTGGACTTGGTCCATAATCATGAACTGACGCATATAATGGGGAAGAAGTATTCTCGCTGAACGTAGATGCCATACTCTTTCTCGTCGTGTGAGCATCTAGATTGTTGACTGCCTTGTTCAAGCGCCTTGAATATGAAGAAGGCAAATCAAATTTGATATTCTTTCCTTTTAACATATTTAGTTTTTATGTTAAATCAGATTAGATTATTATTTCACCTGTTACACCTACCCATTTGTGCAATCCCTGTGGAAAATCGTAAGAAGAGTAAGAAAAAAAATGAAATACACAAGAAATATACTAAGCAACCTGCTTTCAAAAAGATACGGGCACTAAAGAAAAACTCTATTCCTATGGATGAAATTCGTAAGGAATAATAGTTTCTCCATAGCGGTTGCTCGAAGTACATTACTGGCAACAAATCGAGCTCTGCAACCCCCGTCGAGTCTTAAAGGTGAGATGCTCACCTTTGGGGATGACCATATAGAGGTAAAGTCCTCTTAGAGGGGTACGGTAAAAATAAAAAATATTTCTTACAGAGTATTAAAACGCTAAAGCGCATGCAAGACCTAGCCATGTAGCACAACTTACAATATTTCCTACAATACCCAACATCACCAATTGAAACTCCTATCACCTGCCTCCCTTAAGCGAGCTAGTAGAGAGCATACCCCGAGAAGACTGGTTAGAACCTGATACAAAATCCCATGTATCAGCTTCTGAGAAAACAAGCTCACCGTCATCTGTGATTTTCTCATGTCCGTTGAGATACTGAATCACCTGTCTCATCGTCGGCCTCGCTTGCGGATCAGACTGAGAGCAAAGAAGTCCGAGCTTCAGCGCTAGCTCCACCTCCTCCCTGACATAAGATTCCCCTAATCTGGAATCAAGAACGATTATCAACATATTCTGCAGCCAGCATTGCCTCACTCGGTCCAACAGAAGAACCTCCGTCGGAGGTGCAGTTGGCTCAATTGGCCTCCTGCCACAAACCACTTCGAGCACCAAGGCTCCGTAGGCATAGACATCAGTGTTCGTCGAGGCTTTTCCTGTCCGCGACAGTTCAGGCGCGAGGTACCCTACAGTACCCACAACACGGGTTGTATGAGGATTTGACCCGTGCTCATAGAGCCTGGCAAGTCCGAAGTCCCCAAGTTTTGCCTTCATCTCCGAGTCTAGTAACACATTGCTGGCCTTGATGTCTCTGTGGACAATCACTTGCCCCCATTCTTCGTGCAGGTAAAGAAGCCCAAAGGCGATGTCTTTGATGATCTTGAATCGCTGGTTCCAGCTCAAAAGCCCCGTCTTTTCATTATTGAAGAGGAAAGTGTCAAGACTGCCGTTAAGCATGTACTCGTATACAAGAATAAGGTCTTGATCACGCTTGCACCATCCTTGCAGCTGAACTAAGTTCCGGTGTCTGAGTTGTCCCAAACTGGCAATTTCAGCTACAAATTCCTTTACTCCTTGCCTAGAACTGTTTGAGATCCTCTTTATCGCCACTTCTTCTCCGGTGACAGGCATAACACCTTTATATACTTGGCCAAAGCCACCGGAGCCAAGAATCTGCGTCTCTTTGAACCCTTTTGTTGCCCTGTAGAGATCCTTATATGGAAATCTATGAGGGTAGTCTAGCTCCCAATCTTCTAAAGTCTCAGCCAATCTAGACCTTTTATGCAAGTACATGAGAATTAAAAGCACAATCACTAAAAGGACGAGCGTGCCAATCGAAGATGCTAGTCCAATCTTGAGTCCCAAGATCTTAGAACCTTGTGAATTATCTGATTGCAGTGCTTCAGGGGGTAGAGGTAAATGTGAACCATCGAGGAAAGGTGCTACTCCGTTGATCTTGAAGCTCCATCCTAAGATATAATGCGAGCTTGTAAGCTTTCCTGTCGAAGCAGTAAATCCTACGTACATTGATTCCTTTAAAATTAGGGCGAGATCGACTGCTTTCGATATGAGGGGCTTGCGTGGCTTGTCGACAGGAACAGGAGCAATGGTAACCTTGAGATTTTTACTAACACCATCGTAGTCGATCCAGGCTTGGACCGGAGCGCCACTCCCTAGCTCCACAGGTTCCTTCTTTGATGTATTCGCATAGTATGCAGCGGGTTCTGACGCGTTCGATATAAGGCTGTTTATGTCGATACCAACGTGATTATCGTCGATATCTCGAAGCTCTGTGAGGCTCTGAACCGTGTCGAACTCGACAGCCAAGACATGATTGGAGAAATTTCCGTTAGTTTTGTTGCCCAAGAGACCCAAATACTGGCAGCATCCACCACCGGGAAGTGTTTTCGAGGGGGATATTGCGAAAGTGAAGCCGTGGCCTCCGCCGCTTCCGACCGTGACGATGTCAAACACGAATGTGGTACTAAAAGAGACCGTCTGCTGAGTTGAAATGTGATTGGTGAGCATTTGAAATGGGGAGGAGAAGAAAGCTTGCCCCACATCTCGCTTTGTGTCGTTGGTGAGTTGAAGAACGCCGTTGGGTGTGATTCTGGCATCGCCGGTTAAGGTAATTAAATTGGAGGCTCCTTGGAAGCCATTGAAGATGAAATTGTTAGTTGTAGGGAGGGCAGAAGAGGCAAAGAGGATGATGAAGCATGTATACGTGAAGATATGAGAAGAGGGAGCCATGGTTCTTAGGAGAGTTGAACGCTTTTCTGTTAGTGAGGCTACCACCGTAGCTCTAGCAGAGCTTTGCCTGGCAGGCGTTAAATATTGGGGGGTTGAGATCTTTATTTATTTATTTATTTATTTATTTTCATTTTTTCCTGAATATTTGGACCCGTGATTTATGATCATAAATTACTTCAGGTGGCTCGACTTTCTCATGTTATTTGTGGCTCTATGCTCCACACGTGTACACAACAACAGGAGGCTGGCTGATGTACAAGGTAAATTATATGGCGATGGTCCCGTTAAAAAATGTCCGTCGTCTTGAGATGTTTTGGTATATAAAGACAGACACACGAGTTCGTGGCATTACCATCTCCCCCATAACTTCATCACACCAGTCAATCTTAATTTTGTTTTTGCAATTTGTTCTATTGTCATTGTTGTTGCAATTTTAATGTATTGAACGTGACACACTTTCTTTCGATTTTAGTTTATATCAAGATGTTTGGGTCAAAAGTTGATGTTTTCATTGCTTTGAATCTTTACAACTTTAATCGTTATAATAAATTCAAATAAGAAAGAAAAAGTCGATCTTTTCATAAGATCTCCTTATACAATGAAAATAAAATAAAATACAACTCTTGTCAAATAGCACAACAGTAATTTATCTCCTGTTGTTTGCGTGGGAACTTCGCCTATGCCGAGGATGTTGATATCCGTAGACGACCACGGATCAGATCCGGTTGTCGAAAAATTAACATAGCTCCTACTTTACTAAGGAAGTATTCGCTTGAAGCACTGAAATCGACCAAGCGAAATCAGTACGTAGCTCTTCTCGAGATTAAGACCAAGCCTAATCTCAAGGAACGAACGAGACTTCAGATCTCTCGAACTCTCCCTCTTTATGCTGAAGAACTTCACCGAGATCAGTTAGCCTCCTCTGAAATTCGTGCTCCCTTGCTCTCCAACTCGGCAGCACCTCCTCGTCTTGATAATAATTCGCCCTCTCTGAAAGGAGGCCCTCATTTTATATTTATAGGCCTCAAAATCAGTTAATTTGGATGAGAACGCGGGATTTGGCTTTATCTTTAGTTAATAACAGCCTACACATGTTTATGGATGATATCCAAACAGTTGAGATGCTCTGGAACGAATAAATCCTCCGTGGCGCGGGTCGGCGCGGGTCAATCGCCTCAGCTGAACTCCTTTTTTGGCACTTTACTTTTCAAGACTTGTACTTTTTGTCGTTCGCTTATTTGCCCGTCGTGTTGACTTGTACACTCCGCGCGAGCTGACTAACTCGCGCGTCCGGTCACTTGGAGCTGACTTATGCGCGTGGGCTGACTAACGTGTGCCTCCGGTCACTTGGAGCTGACTTACGTGCGCGGGCTGACTAATGTGCGCGTCCGGTCGCTTGGAGCTGATTTACGCGCGCGGGCTGACTGTCGTGCGTGACGGCCAATTGGAGGTGGCCGTTGAGCGCACGAGACACAGTTGGTTCGCCATTCTGATTCATGCACTTGTCAGCTTCAGATAATCCTCTTAGACTCGGATAATGACGTTCGTCATCTTCTCTCAGTCTTGAGCTGTATACGAACACCTATAAGCATTTTTAGACGCCTACAGATACCCCCTCCAAAGTGTTTCAGCCTCATTCCTTCATAGAAGAGCCTGGAATACTTTGGATGTGATAGGCCCCACCTTCAGTTGGTGTCAAAGGACCTGTAGCTGGCTTCAATTCTTGACTTCTTCAGCCTTCAGCCTATTCAGTGTTTTGTTGAATAGATAAAATTCTTCCGGTGCGGCGTTTATCGTCTGACCGTTGTCAAAATCTTGAGTCGAAGTTGGTGTATAAGCATTTGAACTTAGTTCGTGTTATTGAGTTGACGTTGAACTGATCGTCTTCGACAGGAATTCATATCTAGATTGCAATTGAACTCCCTAGAATCATCCTTTAATCCAAAAATTTTTCTTAGCCTTATTTTGGCGAAATTGTCGATGCGTTGACCGGCATCGACCTTTACTGTAATACGTTGACCGGCGTTGACCTTTGTTGTAATGTGTCAATCGGCGTTTAACACAGTTTATACTCGTACGTTCGCTGGAGTCTACACAGTTTAAGCTCTTAAGGCATTGGAGCGTGACGGTCCCAAATGTCGGAGCTATAGGACCAACTATTAAAGATGATTCATCTGCATGTATGAATCTTATCCTGAAGTTGTTGGATCCTCAAGCCACGAGACCAACTAATGAAGCTGGTACGTTAATGACTCTCACACTTATAGGATTTTTGGCAAATGCTCAGCCATCAACGGGTTTGATGAGCCTTTACCGACTACCGTTTGAGTCGGGCTAGCATGCGGATTGTTTAAGTCTGTTCTGCATGTAACGTTGTGCTAAGAGAGTTAACTCCCTTAGTGCTATAATATTAAATACGTAGACTTCGTCTTTCTCACGGGAATAGACTACCCGGCGACATATGTTAGACGTAGACTTAGGATTTTTGGCAAACCATCAGCCTTCAACGGATTTAACGTGTCTTTACCAACTACCGTTCGAGTGGGGGTAGCATGCAGATTGTTTAAGTCTATTCTACATGTAACGTTCTGAAGGAAATTCATGTTAAATACATGCAAAATACGCAGCGAAAGACTATATGTATAATTATACTAAGCATGTAGAGAGCATGAAATACATAATAGGACCATCCTAATTAAATCTAACATAATCCCTATATTAAAGAGAGCATACAAGAGTTAGAAAGTTATACTTTCGAAGCATGATTCGATGGAAGATTGAATAACCCCTAGCTCTTGCTCCTTGTAGTAGAAAATCTCCTCATAGTGGATCTCCAAGTCTTCAAGTGGGCTTGATAAAATCAGAGTCTTCTTGAGACACAAGACAAGATATCCACCCCGGGGTACTTTAAAATCCTATTACTTCCTCTTACTTAAAGATTGCTAGAGTTTAGTAAGAGGAGAGCTCTCTTTTATTCTCTTATGGAAAAAAAACCACTTAGCCAATTTTTCATTTGCCTTTCCATAAGAAAGAGAGCTCATATTTATAGAGTTAAATGTGTTCATGACATGAATGACTCATCCTATGAGTCATGCAATGAATCATCAAATATCAATGATTAATCTAGTGAGTCATGCAATGAATCATCTTATGAATCATTACATTTCAAAACCATGTGCTAATAAACCATGTGCTCAAACCATACCACTAAATGACTCATCTCATGACTCATTTGTAGGCGTATAAAACTGCCTATAGGTCCCTGAACACAGCTCGACACGGTGATTCGATAAACCAACAAACCATCGGGTGACGTATATAAACACGAGCGTCAGTCCACAACGCCGAAGCCAAGTGACACGCAACGAAGCGGATTAACGAGGCGACGAGGTTAATGAATCGCACGCAAGCAACGGAATGCATCTATTCGCGTGCGGAATCAAGCCAATGGTTCAGGGAGTCAACGAGTCATCCAACCATAGAACGGATTCGAACTCAAACGACGAGGCAGATTTAATGCCAAATCAGGATCCGGACTTCCAAATCAGAGTCCAGATCAACAATAAAACTGGGATAAACCGCTAAACTATAAAACCGGACAACGGACGACACGGCGAGAACCCGGGGAAAGAGCTCGACACTAAGCCATCTAGGTGGCTCGGTGAGCCGAGCCACCAAGTGGTGGCTCGGCAACCCCGCTACCAAGGGGTGGCTCGGGGGGCTCGGCCAAAGCCAAGCCCCCCCTTGGTGGCTCGGTGGCCAAGCCACCCATAGGTGGCCAGCCACCTGTGCCAAGGCACAGGTTCGAGTGCCTATAAATAGGCTAGGCATGGCTCATTTTGAAGGGTTGGAATTTTTGACGGCGAAGCTCTGCTGAATTGAGATCTGAACCTTGGAGATTTGAAGCTTTGAAAACTTGCTCTTTCAGATCTGGTTCTTGGCGATCATCCACGCCAAATAAGGCAGGAGTTCGAGAGAGATCAGATCTGAGATCTACACGGTTTCCCTCCGGATCAAAGCTTGGCCTTTGATCCCGAGAAGGCTACTATTTCCTTGGTGAAATAGTACCCCCCGGCTGTTATTTCCTTCGTGAGATAACACCCGTTATATCGTGTAGATCCGACTGGATCTAGATCGCGCGGTGGTCCACGGATTAACCCCGGCGCAGGCGAAGAACCCACAAAAACGAGTGACCGCAAAACAGGAGCTCGTGATTCGTTCGAAAAAAGGAAAGTTGTAATCTTTTTATTTTTTCTTTGATTTTGTTGTAACCGGATCTTATAAAAAGACCAGATCTTTTGTAATCGAAAAACAGTTACTTGAGAGAACAATTAATTCAATGAAGAAAGCTACAATTTTTCCCGCGAACAATCTGGCGACCACAGTGGGAGCCAACGATCTCGCTGCCGAGATCGTCGCGTCGCAGCCGCGGATCTCAATCCCGGTCGAGGAGGAGGTCGAGTATGAATTCGACCAGGCCAAGTTTGAGGAGTATCTGTCATCCTCGTCCGGATCCACCTCCCCCCGCAAGTCCAAGAAGTTCTCCTCCAGGAGAAAGGTCCGTTGGTATGAAGAGGTAGAAAATACCAACAAAGATCTCACCCCGATTGATGCCGAAGTTGCATCGGGTGAAGCACCACCGACCTCCAACCAGGTCAAATCTGTTCCTGTTAATTCCTCCGTCATTGAGGGCGTTGTGACTCTCTCAAATCAAACGGAATCGTTCGACACTCGAAGAGCGCATTCGCAAGCGCCACGCACTGTCAGCGCAAGCACGGGCTCAAGTCCAGGAAGCCCGCAGGAGATTGCAGAAGGAGGTGACGAAAAAGCCGCCACCAACCCGCCAAGTCTGGAGGCCGAAGTCTGAAGTGGCGATTTAGGCTAAAAAGCAACCATTGCAGCCTCCAACCAAAGTTCAACTTCCGGCGAAACACTCTAAATCGCCGATAATTTCCATGGCTACTCCGGGAGATCATGCAGAATCATCCCGAAGAAAGAAGCCAGTTTTGGAGCGCCTCGGTCCAATTCACGATGA